GCTCTCTCTCTCTCTCTCTCTCTCTCTCTCTCTCTCTCTCTCTTACGTACTTTCCTTAATTTTTTTTATTTTTTTTCATAATTCTTTTTTTGCCGAGACACAATGAAAATAAGACTCGTTCCCAACGTCCTTGAAGTTGACTGTGTGTCACTTTTTTTTGCTTTACTGATCCACTGTTATATATACTGAAAGGTTCGTGAGAATCATATCTATTGTACCCAGAGTTGCATTTTTCATATTTAATTGAGAGTTGTATTTTCATTTGTGGGTTGGCAAACAGATTGTTTCTTCTTGGTTTGGATAAATATGGAAAAGGTGATTGGCGAAGCATTTCCCGGAACTTTGTTGTGACGAGAACTCCAACTCAAGTTGCCAGCCACGCGCAGAAGTATTTCATCCGTTTGAACTCTATGAATAAAGATAGAAGGCGATCAAGCATTCATGACATCACTAGTGTCAATGGTGGAGATGTTTCTTCGGTGCCTCAAGGTCCGATCACAGGTCAAATGAACGGTTCAGCCGCAGGAGGTTCTTCCGGCCAATCAAATAAACCAACTTCTCAGGTTCAGGTTTGTCCCCCGGGAGTTGGCATGTACGGCGTACCAACAATTGGACAGCCAATAGGACCGCCTCTCGTTTCTGCTGTTGGGACTCCAGTGAATCTTACACCACCAGGGCACATGGCATATGGTGTTCGAGCTCCAATTCCTGGACCAATGGTTCCTGGTGCCCCGATAAACATGGGTTCTATGGCTTACCCAGTGCAACATACATCTTCACATAGGTGATCGGGTATAGCCAGTCCAAATAATGAACCATATTGATCGTGCCCATTTGTCGAGTAGGAATTATTGCTTCTGATCTTCAAGAAAAATAAGCCATTTGATAAAATTGCATGTATCAGCAGTATAGGCAATGAGGCAGTAATAAGTTCTTGGAATCATTCTGATTTAAGACTATAATAATTTCATTAGAATTACTGGTTAAGGTCGGTAAATTATAGAGATGGTAATATTAGATTAATTTCAAGGAGTTTCTTCTCAAATATCTTGAAATCTTTTTAATTTCATTCTATTAAATTGCGTACAAGCATTCTCGCAATATACCATTTTTTATTATTATTTTATAATGAATTTCACGATTGCACTACACAACTGTTTTAGATAAAATAAATATTGTATTTTCTAAGTTTACTATTTTTCAAAACTTATACAACAGCTTCTTTCACTCGAGACATAAATTTTGAATATGAACCACCCTTAAGTAAGTAACCTGAACAATTAGGGGATGGATAGAAATTAGTAATATGGTTCAAGGTGATACATCTTTGAGTCGTCACATTGTGGCAAAAAAATCACTTGAAGAAATTATCTGGTTGGGGAAATAGTAAGAGCAGAACAATAGATAATTTATCTAAGCTTGAAGTTGGTTTGATTGAATTTCTGATTAGCTATCAGGATTTAGACACGTCAATACTCATGAAAACCAAATGAGTTAGACATTTCGTACTCAAATCGATATGGAAAAAATTGCAGGTGTGCAATATAATGTATTGATGAATAGAGTATCACATGAGATGCTTGTCATGCGAGATGATTGATCTACTTATTTCTCGCACTGCAAGATGTTCGATATATTCATCCCTCGCTCCGCCACATGCCTCAACTTGTGATATATGATTCATCTACTTATCCCCTGCTCCACGAGATGCATCACTTTGCAAGATTATTATTCTACTTATCACTCGTTCTGCTAGATGCCTTGCCTTACGAGATGATTTTTCAATTTATTCCTTGCTTCTCGAGATGCCTCGCCTTAAAAGGGCCAGCCATATTTTAATATGTCGTTTCTTTTCGATCCTATGCGTCTGGCTCAAGCTAAGCTTTTACACACCCAACCAATGGGTAGTGTTCGCTAAAAGTGCATGCCGCAAGTACACGGTTCACGTTTAAGTAATAAAGTGAATCTTTTGAGTCTAGATTGTCGATCCTTCATGGAATGTATACTTTAGATTACGCAACTCTAATTAATTTAATTCTAACAATAAATATAAACACTCACAATTAAATATATGATTTTCAAATAAGGAAATTAACTAAAAACCTACAAAATAAGAAAATACAAAAATCTTGAAAATTTCGGAAGCAAACGTGGTTGTGATTTATAGTTTCATTTAATCATTGGTGAATCAATTTCTCCATGAGCTAATTAACGAATTACTCATTTACTATGTTAGACCACATTTTCCAATTTTAGTCAATTACATCTCTCGAGCGAAATTAACCATAATTAATTGGTTCAATCTACTATATCTCTATGTCGATTAAAATTAAACAATCACGTTAAATATTTGTGAAAATAAATCAATGAGTCGCTTAGGGATAGGGGTATATTTCCATCATCTACATAAACTGAGGGTTTCTGCTATTTGGTCTAAAATGCACAATATTCTCTCAAACAATATACAAATCATTAAACACAATAATTCATTGGCCACATAAATGAAAATGCAATAAATACAATAATAGAAACACGTGAAAATAAGCAAATTAATATCAAATGACAAATATTGAAATTAATTAAAGCCAGATTAAGTTACTACCACATATCCCAACACAATAACTTAGCCCATATTATATAAATGAATAAAATGAGAATATTTAATACAATACATTGCAAATATGGGAAAATAATTAAGAAAATAAAAAGTTATAGATACAACATTTTTTAAGCTGGCTATAACTTTCTCAAATATTTCTCTAAAACCTTAAATTGATTCTCCTTGTGCTCTTGATTTGCTCTAAAAAATACCAAGAAAAAGAAGAGCAAAAAAAGAAGAAGAAAGAAAAATGAAAAGGAGAGTAAAAAGAAAGAGAAGAAGGGTAGGGTTTTTCTTTTAAGATGAAGAAGAAAAAATGGTGAGAAAGGATGTTTAAAAAGGATAAAAACTGTCCAAACCAAATTACAAGAAGAGCCCCTGAAAAAATTAAAATGTGTGCATAGGTCCTGATTTTCAACCTAAAGCACGCTGTCACGGACCTAGTTTCGTTATACCTGAACGACTAGAATCGTGCGGCCTTAACGCTTTACAATTCCCGCACCTTACAAGAAAACGTTAAGTTGGCCTTTCCACGCTCACAAATAATTTAACCAATGAGACTAAATTATACACACTTTGAGAAGAGAATTTTGGAGTAAGGAATATATGGAAAACAAGTAAGGATGGGGAAACTTTTTTTTTATAAATGAAAGGGAAAACTGTACAATCTCTCTAATGAATAACTCATTTCACTCTACATTATTTACAAATGAGACTTTCATCTCTATTTATAGGCAAAACTTAAACTTCCTTAAGATCAAGTTACATTTACTTTACAACCCATGCTTAGTTGGTCACAACTCGTGCTTAGTTAGTTACAACTTATGCTTAGTTGTCGTCAAGTGGATGATCTTACAACTTTCCTTGCAAGTTGGCTACAACTCGTGCTTAACTTGCATTTTTGATATTATCCTTGCCAACTCGTGCTTAGCTTGTTTCTTTGATAATATCGTTGCCAACTTGTGCTTCGTTTGCACCTTTGATAATATCTTGCAAGTAGCACAAGTGGACAAGTTGTGCAAGTTGCCCACTTGCATCCTCAAAATATCCGGCTGCAAGTTTACGCATCTTTTCTTCCAAAATGGCTGGTTCGAGACTTAAAAAAAACCTCATAAACGTACTGGAAAACAGCCCGCTTTAGGCAGCTTGCGTTCTGCCCAACAGGTTGCTTGCGTCCCCAGCCCGAGTCTGCCTACGTCCCTTGCCTAATCTTCTTGCCTCCCCTCTCGCAAGCTATTCCATCATACTGAAACGCGTTACCCGCGCTATTTTGCGGCCCGCTATAGGAACGAATTGATCGCGACCGTGTGGGGCGCAAATCACTCTCCCACTGAATTTGGTGACGCCCTCATCGCCCTATGCCGCCGAAACTTAGATCTTATTTGCCATAAGTCTATCTCATTTTTCCACTTTATGCCATGACATTCCCGTGTCATTCCAAGTTTCAAGTCATAACCTTGCGATCCGTGACAGCGCGCCTAGTACAATATGAGGTGCATGTCTTAATACTTTGGTTGCTCTCTGTTACTCAAAATTGGGGCTAAGGCGTGCGCCTTAGTTGCAGGCTTAGGCACACGCCTTAGCCTCCTTTTTTCTTTCCTTCAGTTTGGTTTTTGAAGAATTGCACAATTGGTCCTTCAACTTTTATCTTGTACATTTTAGTCCTCAAATTTTGACTTTTCTTCCAATCACGTCTTCCAAAAATTGCAGCCTTATGTCCCCAACTTTCAGCACTTGTGCACTTTGGTCCCCAACTTCACATTTTTTGTGCACTTTTGGTCATTTTTCACTTTCTTTTGCTTTATTCTCTTTCCTTAGGTGATTTTTAGCCCACAAAAGTAAATATTACCTGATTGTGAATAAAATTTCATTTATTTTATCAATTAAAAACATATTTATGTATTAAATAAGTGTGCAAAAAATACACTTACCGATAGCCCTTAGCCCGTCAACACCCTAGCCTTCTTAAGCCTATTAGTGGTCTTCACTTTTTTACGCTCGTAACAATCCATGCCTCAGATCACAATTGCTCCAATTACAATACTTCAAACACATTCACAAAACCAGCAGCAAACTCATCTCCACCTTCCAACCCAAGAAGGATCATTTCCCAAGTGACACCTTTTGGTTCATCAAATTCACCACATCGGATATTCCCTGAAATAGCAGAGGCTGTAAATGGTAGAACCAATACCAGGTCCCTTCAACCAGTCGATGTTTCCTTCCCCTCGTTGGCCAAAACTATGATACCCACAACTCCATAACCTCTAAGTTTCCCTCCAAAGGTTGCACTGGAGTCATTGGCTACCATGCAAAGGCTGGCGCTCATGAATTTTGTTCAAGTTGATGAAAGTACTTTGAATACATTAAAAATAAATTGGGGCATTTTGCAAGGAACATGATCAATGGTTGCTTGATCCGGTTAACCGGGAGTGTAGGAAAGACCACCACAAGAAATATGATTGCATTGGCTTTAGAAAGCATAGGGTTTGAGTTAGTTTCAAGTCAGTCCCCATACATGTGTACTTCTTGTATAGAATATGGGCATGATCTCTCCTCGCAAGACCCAAAATTCACTAGTATTACCCTAAGCTAGGTTACGTGTGTGTGCACATTTTTTTCCATCATGTTTTTACTCCAACGTCTACCACGGTAGCTTACCAATTAATGAATGATATGTCAGACAATATGTTAATTTTTTTCGTATTGAGTTATAACCTTTAATGACTAGATGAATCTTGAAAACACTTACAATGACCAACTTGAAATTTTGAACAAAGTTCAGTGGCATTTGATGAAGTTAACTCATCTAATTATATTGACCTCCCTTGAAAGTAAAACACTCTTCTAATTTTTAGAATCATATAAAGATTTCCTATTAGCAAAAAATGATTTTTACCTCTTTTTGAGCAAAGTAATTTCATGGCAGTCATATATTTATCAAAAACAATTTTTCATTTCAAACAAAGTACAAGAATTACAAAAGAAATCTAAACTTTGAACATTCATATTTCAATACAAATATACCTTAAATTTGACACATTACAAATGTTAAGAGGTAAAAATTACTACTATCCAGGGACAATATATCATACACCCCTGAAAGAATATATGGTACATCAACCTAAATCCAGGGACAATATATATCATACACCCCAGAAAGAATAAGGGAAAGTAGCTTTAAAAAGCCACATCTCAGGGCCAAAAGTGGAGGAAAAAATATGCCTCCAAATGACTAAGTGGAACGTATGGACTGCTGTGCAGAATAGGAGCGATAGGCTCTTAGTACAACAATAGCTAGAACACTAGCAGCGAATTCAATAGCAGTTAATAACTCTATGTACGGAATTATCATGTGTCCAAAAAAATTTAAAAATTAAAAATAAAAATCGTCGATTGGTTAGCATGCTAATCAGGAAGAGTGTTTGCAACAAGTGAACACACAATCCTCCAAAAAATTGGTGATCTGAGAAGAATACAATTTGGGATCATTCCGGAAATGGTCGACATGGGGAGTTGAAATGAAGTTACAAGCTCTGACCTCACGTCCACTCCTCCGCTGCTTCTCTATGAAGGACTCGACGGACCCTGCAGGAATAACTTTGTCGGCAGAGCTATAAATGTATAGCTGCGGACAGCTTGGTTGCTGGAGCGTTAATACGCTCAACACATCAGAAAGCCTCCTGTAATATGAGAAATTACAATTAACACAATGTCAAAGTAAAAAGGATGACAATGAGTTGACATCTATTGTTCAATTTACTGTCTACTCAATTAATTATCGATACATCATTTTCAAATTCACATATGATCTCAAATTTACTTGGATTATTCTGCTTCGCCAGGGCCACATGGCACTGCTCTATTGGCATGCTAATTTGAAATGATGTGTCAATAATTAATTGAATGAACAACAGATCTCAACTCACCATTAGCAAAACATAAATAATGTCCTAATTGTTCCGATTCCGATAATTTCATTGCTGTTGTGCGAAAAAGTTTTATGAGGTATTCTATTTTGACCACTGGCCTATTTTAGAACACGAGTGTATGCGTATCCATATATTTCTGTCTAGGTTTTCACCATGGAGGTAACAGATTACAGATTGCCTCGGACAACATTCAGCCTATTAAATGCAATGGAGTAGTGTGACAACTTCCTTAAATACCAGATATAAATAACTTTGGAAGCATAACTGTTAGTTGAGCAAGTTTGGAATAATGAAAGAAGAATTTTTGTTTGTTATGAAAAGCTTCTTTACCTATTTACTGAAGGATAATTCAAAACCACCCCGAAGAGCTTCTCGAGTACGAGTAGAAGAGCTGCTTCAGTTAATGCAGGCTTAGCTTCAACATCATTTTTAGTTCCAACCATTGCCTCTGCATCTGCTTCACTTAAGCTCGTGAAACTTTTAGTTGCAACGCTATGCTTCTTTAAAAAGGCAGCAGAAAATCCAGAAGCCCAGACCTAGAAGCACGTTTATAACGAATTTCATCAATCAGATTGGACGAAATTATCTGGAGAAGAGAATTGTGAAAGAACACAAGACAAGAGAAAACTTCAGATGCTGAAATGACATTTATTAGTGAATTCAAGGCCTAGACAAAAAATCTACCCTCTCTTTTTCTCTGCGCTATAACCAAATTTCTAGTTCCTAGATTTGTTTCTCATAATTGATAGAAGAATATAGAGACAGGTAAAAGTCATCGATAAAGCTTCACTCACTTTACATTATTAGTCCTTTCACTCTGCTCTATCAAGAGTTATTTAAGAAGTTATATCACAAACGCCTGAATCCCGAGCTTCAAAACACAAAGTGAAATACTAGAAATACAACCCTGTGGCGTAACATGGTGAAATAGAGCTCAAAATACTAGTCTCACCTGTTTTTTTTCATGTAAAGCTGTGTTTCAACCCACAATGTCGTTCCAACAGTCATATTGCGTAGGAACCTTGTGTAACTACAATTCTACAAGACAATATTACCTGTGGATCAGGGGCTGCCACAGGAGCAGAATCCACAATACAGCCCTTAATCCTTCCCGTTAATGTGGAATCCTTCTTCTGAAACTTTTCCAAAATGACTCCATAACTGCAAAGAAATTAAGAGACTCATCAAACATAATAGTAAGCAAAAGTTGTCCTTTTTCTCTTTCTTTCTTGAGATTAAGGAATTATATCGAAGTTCCAGATGAAATGAAGCACAAAAACTTACGTTAGCCATCCCGTATTGCTAAATGTGTGGAAAACCAAGTTCTTTCCGTGCTCTTCTTCCAGCCATTCTTCGAGATGGTTCACGAGCAATTCTATATCCTCCTCAGCTTTCCCCCCAACTTGATAACTGAGAATTTCATTCATTGGGAAAGTAAATGTAATGGCATGAAACCCTCTAGAGGTATACCATTCTGCATATCTCTTGAGATGCTTCTGCTTTGCGCCTAACCATCCAAGCAAAACCACAACAGTCCTAGATTTTGCTGATGAACAATCAGAAACACCAGACACATTGATGGTGTTTGGCTCTGGCAAATGCCATCTATACAAAACATCTGATGTCGAAGGCGGAATAGTATGTGAAGAGGACACTGGTTTGGCAGTTTTTGCTAACTCAGCAGACTGATATAAATTGAGCAAAACAGGAGAAGGCACCATAGAAGAACAACTCGGTCCAGTTTTAGGAAATGATATTCTGACATTAGGCAAAGGCGTGCGAATTCTGGAGATGAAAGACAAATCTGTTAGCTTGGAAAAAGATATCCAGGACACCCAAGATGAACTTGTTTCTTGCATTGACTCAGAAAATGAAGGATTGGATTGTTCGAAGGAATAACAAGTCTCTGATGAACTGGAAGGCCGCAGTTTATCGTGAAACTCAGCAGAAACAGAGGCTATTGCAACTGCAGAGGCCGCAACTACCGGCCTCTGAAAGAATCCAGAAAAGGAAGCCATATGACAACTAGCTGAAGCTCAAGTAATGTGTCAAAGAATTATCGTCTACCCACAAAGCCTAGAAATAGATTTGGCATCCACCTGCACAAAGCGAAGAATAAAAACTGAAACTGATTAAAACATTAAACACATGAATTTGATATTTAAAAAAAATGGAAAGAAAAAGAAAACTAATCTTTGGCGCGCTACCTACCGTTTTATGGGTAAACGTTTTGTGTTGAATAATTCAAAATCAGGCTGTCTAATTAATTGACAGCCTGATCCCAGGCTTCCCAGCAGCCAACCAAAAAGGAAATCCCTTTACAGAGTCAAACTTTCACCCCCAACGCGTCCTGTAATTAAATAAATATTCAACCCAGCAAAATCAATTGATTAACGATACATAAGAGAATTAAAAAGATAAAAAGTTAAAAGTGGTAGGACGCTGATGCCTGAGCCGATGGGGACACAACACGTGAATCATGATCATTTCTTAAGACATCATAATCAATTATAATTTATAAGCTTATTTTACATGTGAGGTTTAAAATTACTCCCAAACCAACACAGTCCCACATATTAATAAGACGTGTTTGATGTGATATTTACTTCCAAAATTTTAGGGTTCACGTATGAAATTGAAAAGTACAGGTCGTCCAGCCCCTGGTTGTAGGAAAAGACATAATTGTCCCCAATTTACACCTAATTTTGCAGAAAGGGGGTTGGTTTCAATTTTAGCTTGAAACCTAATTTCACTTTTTGTTTTGAAATTTACTAATCCTGAACGAAATTAAACAATTTGTTAAAATAATTTTGAATCAACGAAACAAGAGTAGATGATTAAACCATTACAAGAATAAACAATTAACAATTATATCAAAGCTATGTTCAAATAAACTATTGCAAGAAATTATAATGTGGTCTGATAGGAGGAAAAATTCAGAATTGGCCTCACCAAACCTCGAAATTCTTGGGAGGAAAAGGGGAAAAACGAAAGAGAAACCGAGAAAAAAAAAAAAAAAGGGAGAGAGTTAATTCATTAAAAAACATATTGTATGTTTGTCTAAGAGTGAAGAAGAACTGACCTCACAGAAAAGAAACAATTGAAGAACAAATGAAGACCCACACAAAAAGAATTCAATGAATGAGCCGAATGCTGTTCAATTTCTTGTTCTATAATATAAGAGTCCTCGTTTATTGGAAGACAGGAAAAAGAATGGACCCCTTTGAATCTGTTCATCTCTGCCGTCTATTTATAACCTGAATATGCTATGGTTCAGAAATTTTGAAATTGAGAGCATTTTTTAAATAAGAAATTTTGTAACAGTGATTTTTTTAAAAATAGATAATTAAAAAATAGAAAAAAGAAATTTTTGTATGCATAATTATGTTACTGAAAAAAATATATGATTAAAAAATAATTTTTTTTGAAAATGGGACTCGAATTAGGCTATATTTGAGCCATATTTTTTAAAAAAAATACATTTTTAGACAGTGATTTAACATCATTTCAATTATATTTTTTTAATAAAATAATATTAAAACCAAATTCAAAACTATTCTTTATTTTTTACCCACACAATTTCTATCAATACACTATTCAAAAATGTATTTTTAGGAATATAATGTGGCTCAAACAAGGACTTAGTGTTGAATATAAATGCAACTTAGAATATGGCAGAAAATTCAAACAAATTAAATCGATTTTTAAATATAATTCATTTTTAAAATTTAAAATCATGAATTGAGCCTTGTTACTAAGCACTTGTTCGAGCTCTATTCTTTTGATAAGAATGAATTTATGAATATTGTATTAATGAAAAATATGTGGTAAAAAATTAAGATTTTTTTTTGAATTTGCATGTAATATTATTTATTGAATAATGTGTGATTGAAATGATATCAAAACACTGTTTGAGAATTTTTTTTTTTTTTTCAAAAAAATGTGAATCAAACAGAGACTAAGTTGACTGACTCAATTAAAATCTCATTGATAAAAAACTAATCAATTAAATTTAAAAATAGATTTACAATCATGAAATTAATAAAATTAAATTAAGGCTTCGTTCGTTTTCATTTTTATCAAAATACATTTTTCTTTATCTTTTTTTTAATCAAACATTCTTCAATTAAAATTATGTTACATGTAAATAAAAAACTTTTCCTTATTTTTCATCTACACATTCTCTATCAATCTACTATTTAAAAATTCATTTTCGCATAAAAATAGGTGACACCCTCTAAAATGGAGCATCAAAATAGATAGAATATCATTAAACGATAGTACATCTCGAGGCTCCACTAAAATGAAGTTTTGGTGGGGAGGCGGTGTATTAGAATAGTGATTTTTCTGAAAAATATGTGATTATAATTAAAAAAGAAGAAATTTTTTAGATTTACATGTAATATTAATTTCTGAAAAAGTGAAGTCCAAACATGGGCGTAATAACAAAAAAATTAATTTTTTATTTTTAACCCACGTTTGAGCCCATGTTTTGTTGGAGGTTTGTAATAATGAATCTTTTGAGAATATGTAGCTAAAGAGTAGAAAAATATTTGATTTACGTGTAAAATATTTTATCGTGAAATCGTTTGATTGTGAAAAAATAAATTCTTAAATAATGAAAATCATACAGGACTTGATATGTTCAATTCTCGTATTTTTTTAAAAAATAGGTTTTATTTCAGAGCGAAATATAGGTGGAATAAACGAAATTCCTTTGAGGAATATACTTTGGAATATTTGGACATAATTCCAAGAGTACGATAACAAACTGGATTTTTGCATCATGGAGCTACATTCCATTCAACTCTTCTCTTGTCCACACAAATATTTTACAAATTTCAATTTTTAAATTATATTACCCATGTAATATTCATGGCAACCAACGTCAACAGAAGAAAATTCTAAAATTCAAATATATTTATCAATCATATTTGGTGTACATTGCCCTTGACAGATCTTTCGATAGATTAAAAAAAAAAGTTGAATTTTCTTCCTATTTTTTGTCAACACATTTTTCTGTCAAGAATATGGTAAAAGGCAATGTATAAATGGCAAAAACCTATATTCATTCGTAAGCAGAGACGGATTTAAGAGGGGCTGGGCTGTAGCCCCCCCCCCCCCCCCCCCCCCCCCCTTTTTTTAAGGGTTGTACCCCCCCCCCCCCCCCACTCAGGCCCAAGAGCATATTTTTAAGATATTTTTTTATTTTTTTATTTTGGTAAAAAACCAATTTTTTATGTGTAAATTTTTTTCCCCGCGTAGTAGCCCGATTTGAAATTTTGTAGTCCGGTCTTGAATCCAATCTTGGATCCATCCTTGTTCGTAAGTCTTTCTTAGCCTCCATTTGATAGCAATTTTTTACCCAAAAGAATCAATTCTTTTGACCGTTATTTCAATATTTCAGCTCTCATTTTTTACTTCCTCACTCATAAGTAGAACTCACTTTTTCTCTCTAACGATCAAAAAATCACTATCGAACACGCTCTTAATCAAAATTGTGGTTTACTGAAGAGATTGCACTACACGGGAGGTCACATATCCTTTTGGGGAAACAAATGCTAAGATTTTCTTATTTGTTATTCTTTTAACCTTCTATCTGAAATATTGGCAATTTTAGATGAGTTTTTGTTTGTACTTAGACTTAGAGAAATCTGATCAAGTTTAATCTTATTCGGAATTTGGACTAAGAAAAAAAACATGATGATCAGGAAATTATTTTAATAAAAACTAACAATCCACTGCTTCATCAACTCCAAGGTTTCCCTACTACAAAGAAAGACAAAAAGCAGCCTCAATCTTATGCCCACGAGGTGTATCAGAAAGAGAGACAACCCTCGACCAGGGACTATATACTTAGTTCATGTTTGGAGACTTCATTTTTAACTTTACATTTTGAGGAATTAAAAATTGATTTTTTAACTAAACCAAACAGGGGCTTAATAGTAGCTTCTTCCATATAACCCCTGTTTGACCTCTATTATTTAAAATTACTTCATCTTCAACTTAATTTTCAACCATATATTTCATTAAATTCATAACTTTTATCAAATTTTCAACCACATATTTCATCAACTTTATCAAAATATACTAAAAATCTAATTTTAGTTAAACCAAATAAGAGCATAATGTTATCCAAGCTGTTAAAAAGCTTCTAAAAAGACTAGATTAAGCTTCTATTAGTCTACCATTATTTCAAAACTATTTCTCTTTTTTTCTTAAACTTATTTTCAACCACACGTTCTCATAATAAATATTTTGCACGTAAAACCCAAAATATTTTCCTACTTTTAATCACACAGAATTCAAAAATTCATTATTCCAAAACTCATTTTCCTACTTTAATGATAGACAAACAGGAGCTAAGCAATCTACCAAGAGTTGGAAGATAAAAACTCGAGATATATTAAGATATCCTTAGAGACTTGGCGAGGGTATGTCAAATGAGCTAGTGGTTGGTTCTTTAATCTTAATAAGAACTTAGGTTAAGAATAAGAAAGACTACCAAAAACTAGAATCAACATCTTGTCAATCTTTTAGGAAGAAAAGCAATTTTGACCCCGAAACACCACAAAACTATAAAAAGAACGTCATTTTTCATCCTGGTCTTCAAAAAATAGCGAGAAATCAACCATAAGAAGGAAGACCTGAGTAAATTATTTCAACAAAGAGCCTATATAGAGTATCANTATTTTATCGTGAAATCGTTTGATTGTGAAAAAATAAATTCTTAAATAATGAAAATCATACAGGACTTGATATGTTCAATTCTTGTATTTTTTTAAAAAATAGGTTTTATTTCAGAGCGAAATATAGGTGGAATAAACGAAATTCCTTTGAGGAATATACTTTGGAATATTTGGACATAATTCCACGAGTACGATAACAAACTGGATTTTTGCATTATGGAGCTGCATTCCATTCAACTTTTCTCGTCCACACAAATATTTTACATATTTCAATTTTTAAATTATATTACCCATGTAATATTCATGGCAACCAACGTCAGCAAAAGAAAATTCTAAAATTCAAATATATTTATCAATCATATTTGGTGTACATTATCCTTGACAGATTATTCGATAGATTTAAAAAAAAAAAAAAAAGTTGAGTTTTCATCCTATTTTTTGCCAACACATTTTGCTGTCAAGAATGTGGTAAAAGGCAATGTACAAGTGACAAAAATCTATATTCATTCGTGAGTCTTTCTTAGCCCCCATTTGGTAGCAATTTTTTTTTATCCCAAAGCAGTTATTTTGACTGTTATTTCAATATTTTAGTTGTCATTCTTGACTTCTTCACTCATAAGTGGAATTCACTTTTTCTCTCTAACGATCAAAAAATCAATTTTCATAATTATTATCGAACATGCCGTTAATCAAAATTGTGGTTCATTGAAGAGATTGCACTACACGGGAGGTCACATATCCTTTTGGGGAAACAAATGCTAAGATTTTCTTATTTGTTATTCTTTTAACCTTCTATCTGAAATATTGGCAATTTTAGATGAGTTTTTGTTTGTACTTAGACTTAGAGAAATCTGATCAAGTTTAATCTTATTCGGAATTTGGACTAAGAAAAAAAACATGATGATCAGGAAATTATTTTAATAAAAACAAACAATCCACTGCTTCATCAACTCCAACGTTTCCCTACTACAAAGTAAGACAAAAAGCAGCCTCAATCTTATGCCCACGAGGTGTATCAGAAAGAGAGACAACCCTCGACCAGGGACTATATACTTAGTTCATGTTTGGAGACTTCATTTTTAACTTTACATTTTGAGGAATTAAAAATTGATTTTTTAACTAAACCAAACAGGGGCTTAATAGTAGCTTCTTCCATATAACCCCTGTTTGACCTCTATTATTTAAAATTACTTCATCTTCAACTTAATTTTCAACCATATATTTCATTAAATTCATAACTTTTATCAAATTTTCAACCACATATTTCATTAACTTTATCAAAATATACTAAAAATCTAATTTTAGTTAAACCAAATAAGAGCATAATGTTATCCAAGCTGTTAAAAAGCTTCTAAAAAGACTATATTAAGCTTCTATTAGTCTACCATTATTTCAAAACTATTTCTCTTTTTTTCTTAAACTTATTTTCAACCACACGTTCTCATAATAAATATTTTGCACGTAAAACCCAAAATATTTTCCTACTTTTAATCACACAGAATTCAAAAATTCATTATTCCAAAACTCATTTTCCTACTTTAATGATAGACAAACAGGAGCTAAGCAATCTACCAAGAGTTGGAAGATAAAAACTCGAGATATATTAAGATATCCTTAGAGACTTGGCGAGGGTATGTCAAATGAGCTAGTGGTTGGTTCTTTAATCTTAATAAGAACTTAGGTTAAGAATAAGAAAGACTAACAAAAACTAGAATCAACATCTTGTCAATCTTTTAGGAAGAAAAGCAATTTTGACCCCGAAACACCACAAAACTATAAAAAGAACGTCATTTTTCATCCTAGTCTTCAAAAAATAGCGAGAAATCAACCATAAGAAGGAAGACCTGAGTAAATTATTTCAACAAAGAGCCTATATAGAGTATCACTTCAATATCTATGCACCATATACACGATCTTGGAGCATGTTTGACTTAGCTTATTTGTAGGAAAGAAGCGAGAATCCCCCACTAGTTAAAAAAAATACCAAAACGACAACAATGAATGAAACAAAAGATGATTTCACCAACTATATCCTTGTAAAATCAATCGACACTATTAAATAAATGCACAGCATTTAATAAACTTGTGACCAAGATTCATCGTCTTCACTTTGGAAGAAGAAAGTGTGCTATCTATCGTAGAATTAATCAAGAATGGAATTCTGTGTGTCCTACTAGTAAAAAATAAGGGTAAACGTGTCGCCAGGGAATCATACCATTGAAAAAATAAGTATCACAATATGAAAATTCTAGGCAACATCAAACCATCGACTCACCAAAGTCGATACCCAATAACTCCAAATCTGGAGATGTAAAATGCGTACTAGCAGCTAGGTCATAATCCAAATGAATTTCTGTCGTATCGATGGTGATTCTGCATGGTACCACATTCTTGTCATCAATTAAGAGAGAGCAGTTGCTATAAGTACCTTCTTTTGGTGGAAGATTCAATAAACAAGACCTAGGTGCTGACAACCTCTTTCTATCACTACTAACCTTTCCCTTGTTCTTAAGCATCACCATAAGACGATGATGGCGTCCCAACAGCTCTGAGACATATTTCATGTCTCCTTTGGAAAGTGCATGACGCACTCGAGTAGATGATACTTGGCCTTGCTCCTTTGAACTGCGAGAGTTGATGTTTGCAGAATCTTGATTCTTGTCCATGACGGGATTTATGATGTAAGCACCAATGCCATACTCCTTGCATAATTGCACTAGGTCCCGTGCATCACCAGCAGCTCTGTATCCAAAACGGTAGTTTTGACCTACCATATTAACAATCATGCTCGCCATTACATGATTGGAACTTAACAAAATTAAGAAGTCAGAAAAGGCAATATGATACCTGCCACAACACCGTGTACTCTGAGCTCCTTTGCTAATTTCTCAACAAATTGTCGTGGAGTAAGATGTCGAACTTTTGAAAACTCAACCTCGAATTCCCTGGGTGTGACATTACCACAGTGTGGAGCCCAAGAGGAAAGAACCCGTTTTCTATCGCATTTGGCAACTATCGGAGCCCTATTTAAAGATAATATAAAACAAGTCATAAACGACCTCTCAGCTCACTTCTTAAGATTTGATCAGAAAACAAAATTTATGTACGTACTAGAAAGTTAAATAAAATGGATTAGCAATATGACCTTCATGTCACCCTGTAAGATTTATTTGAATCAGCATTCTAGCACTAGACACATCTTGCTCTTCTACTAAATGAATTAAGAATTTGTACAAATGAAGTAGAAATATTCACGGTTCATGCAAGTAGAACAAATAAATCATTCAATAATATATTGGTGCACATTCATAGATAACCTTGTATTTCATCCGATGAAAGTATGATGCCAATATTTACACCCCAATGCAAGAGGACTTTACCAAGTAGTCTTAATGTGTTCTAGTTAAACAGGGTGTCATACAAAGAATCTAGCAAACCATGTAATTATTTACTTAATTTGGTAAATACTAGCAGATTACAAATAATTTGTACATTCGTCAATGCTTCTCGACTTAGATCACGATCATATCTGCAGATGGTCTTGTATTAAGATGAACATCATAGAGAGGTCAAGTGAGCAATCTAGAGCTAAGGTAAGGACAAGATGTTATGCAAACCGATGCTGAAGAATGCCGGTCAAACACAATAAAATTGAGAAGCAAAAACCAAGTTGAAGGAGAAAAGACAACACTTCTGACTTCAGGCATGTAAATTAATAACATGCACCAGGAGAACGTGTGATTGTATGGGTCAGCTATCTAGAACTTTTCAAATGATTTGGATGGTCTTCCAAATTGGGTTGTCCTCTATATATAAATTTCCAACTCAGCAGCTGGAAATAGACCATTCTGTAATTCATTTTAAGATATCGGATACCCATTTATGCTTTATATACCCGCAAACAAACACACCTATTGGGTTGTTGCATATGCCTATATAACAAGGCTTATTTAGGATTGCAAGCGCAACCAACTCAACCAAAAGACTGAGCCATCAAGACATACTGAATTCTCTTAAACAATTAGTAGCAAAAAGCCATTGCACTTCCACTAATAGGCCCCAATAACTTTGAGCTACCATCTATTTTTATTTTTATTTTTTTCCTGAAGAAGAATCACCTAAAGGTAAGAGGTTTGCACTAGAACCCACCTTCTTACTAATTAAAAGAAATGAGACAAATCAAATGCTCAAGAAGGAGATGTATAACCTTACTCCAACTATCAAAATGTACAACTAATACAAGCAAGGAGGTTAAACCTCTCATAACAAACAACTGTGACAATTCTTTGCTGCAATTCTTCTTCGTGATAAGTGTCAAGTCAAGTTGTTCCCCGCCCGTAAGTCATAACTGGGATCCACTATGAAATCTTCTCTCGATGAACATCTTCCAAAATAACCTTTTAAGGATGGTACACTAAATTCAACTGTCAATGTATATATTTTGTATTGGTAACTTTCATAATCATGTTGACCAAGAGTCATCCTACAAAATGAAATGGCTTGTTGCAAAGTCACTATTAAAATTACTATAACCAAATATCTTTTGACATTCAGTAGACCCTTGATACATCTGTCCCAATTTCATAACATTGATCTCAACTTTATTACCAGATAATATTTTTTGAAGCACTATCTTCCCCATTGATTACACATTTTTCAGACTCATTTTTTGTGCCAGACATGAATGTGACTTTTCATCTGCACTCTGCATTTTCAAATGTTCTGCAATTGCTTCTTTAACATGAAATTTGTCCAAGTTGTTAAGTGAGAGAATACTAGCCCTTGATTCCCAGTTTACTATGTCTTTTTAAAGTTACGAAATTCACACTAAGTCACTAATTAATCGATAGAATTTTCTCCAAATCAGCATTATTAGAACTTTTTGCAGGATCCTCTCAATGGAATTCTTTTGAGTCATTACGTTGGCAAGATTCAAGCCTGGGTCAAACAGAGAAGCGTGCTGCTGCTTTGTGACACGGGGCCAAATTATCTGCATTGCAGTTTTTACCTACTCCTTTTTTCTTTTAACGCTCATCCCTAGTCAGATTACATTCAAATTGTTATTTTAAATGTATTGGATTGGTTGCCTGATCGCGGCAACCAAGAACAAATGCTATGAACTCGGGTCTAAGAATGCCGATGTTCCTGATGGCTTCGTCCCTTTAACACAAAATTTTTCCTAAATCAGTTCTTATTGAAGGAGGTCTTGGGATAAACCTAGAAGGATGACAATTTCCTTTATTTAGACCATCCCCTACGAGTGGATTAATTACCATGGCCTAAAAAATACACGAAATGGATTGTGGATGAGAAAAGTCCTGCAAAGTGGTACTTCTTCACTATTATTGAGAGAACAATCTTTATGTCACTCTGATGGAAAGGAAGATGAAACTTGCATAGAAAGTTGTGAATCTGATCATCTATGGATCGGCCGGAGTGAAGTAAGAGAAACTTTCCTAGAGAGCAGCTAGATAATTCACCAAGATCATACAGCAACCAAGCCTGAATGTTAAATCTCAGGAGACAGTATACAATGGAAAATGGCATTTATCGAACAATCTCTCCAACTTCCTGTCCCTAGAAGTGCTTTCTAATCTATGACTTTGATCCACAACAACGATTTAATCTTCAAATGCAACCAATCCTTCCAAAAGCTTATGCTGTCAGGATGGTCAGGGCTAAATGGCTAATTAAGTTGTGGTATATGCTTGTAGTTCCTCATGGTTAGAAGTAGGTAACATGTTAACATACTTTCAATCAATAAATTAACCAACGTGCCCATTACAAGCAAGAAACACGACTTTCTGTTATATAATAAGGATTAAGGAATTGGTGAAAGGAAAGAAGTGAAATAATTTTCGAACAAATCTTCAGCTGTCATGCTTGTGAAGTCATTCCTAGGGAGACTAGTATTTTTGTTGAAATTTTGAGCTCTTTCCTTTATTTATTTATTTATTTTATTTTTTAATTTGGTAGTGCATAAATACTTTACCTATAGTTCTTCTGAACAAGTTCTCTAAATATAGAGCCTGTAGAGTATAGCCCATTTGGACAGCTTAGGCAAAAATAGAATAATCTTTAATGAAATGTACAGCAAAAAGCAAAAGTAAAACGGTGGTGTGTGTTGAAGCTCGTTCAAAATTAAAACTTGTTCTTTTTATTTTAACATTTGGACTCGGTGAAGGAGTATTAGACATGTTTGAGTGTGTTCCAAAACGTTGGTGTGCATCGAACTCGTAACCATTTTAAGAGCCTCCATGCTGGTTTTCTTGAAACCAAGCATTTATTATTATTATTATTTTCCCACCAAAGAGCCAATATGGTTTGTGTCCTGCACATTTTACCAAACCTTATCTAGGAGTGCAAGTGGGTTTTAATGTGGGATAAAATTATCTATATCAATCACAAGTTGGTGAGTGTACGTATATGTATATTAGCATGCTATGAGAACAAACCAGTCGAAAAAGATGATGGTCTTCTTTTGAAATTCCTTTCGTTTTTCCATTTTACTCTTTCTAGTTTAGCATTCAGCCTTGAGTACAACCTAAGTTCCTTTTCTGTCTTCATTTCATTCTTTCTAGTTTAGCATACAGCCTTGATTACAATCTCTCTCCTGTAGAAACTATCCTAGGTAATGCAGCAAAGAGATAGAAAGGTTAATATATACACACATCTCCCAGGCACATGCCTGGACAAGGGCATTTTTTAGTCCAAGCACAGTGTTATAAAAAAAAATTTGCAAACATTTGGGCTTTAATCATGACTCTCAATTTGATAATTGTGTAACATCTACTTTGTCTGATGTAGAGTGGAGAAATCCACTAGACTTTCATTTTTCTCTTTTGTGCCTTATTTGCCTTCAAATATTTTATGTGCATTAGACTAACAAAAGAGTTGAGAAGAAAGCGGCATTTCGTACCTAGGTTCCCACCCAAGTATCTCTGCCATTCCAACAAAGGCTAAAAGAAATGGAACTCCAATTTTTGCTGCTTGGATTGCAAGTTCCCGATGACCAATGTGCAGGGCATCGAACTTCCCCAAAGCTACTATCCCTCCTATTATAATGAAGAAACAAGAAATCCAGATGCTAAACTTAGCGAGTCATTTCAAAACAACAGGACTATCCAAACAGAAATATTTTCAAAATATGAAGGTGAGTTGAGTTACAGGACCATGACAAGTTTGCAGCAAATTTACAAGAAATATTTATCAGCAAACTGCGAAAGCCACAAACTTTCAATCAAATTTTATAATGATCATCAGGATTATCACCCCTCACATGATACACACACACACACACACACACACATGTATATATATATCAAATAAAGAAGTTTATTTAAAACAAATTTACACAATAATTTAAAACACACGGTCTAATTTAGGTTAAAAGGCCTATAAACAAATAAGTTGATACAATACATATTCACAGCTTTTAATGTATCATATTTTGTAATAATAGAGATGCCAACACATCCATATTCAACGAACAACCAATAATCAATTTAACCAATAAAACAATCAGGAAACTCAGGAAAGAAACCTTTTTTATTTTTCTTTCCATCAAAAAATGTACAAAAGATACCACTGTTCACTTGCCAGTTGTTGAAGATAACATTTAAATAATTTACACATGGCCCTCATTAATATGTTAAGCTTTTAGATAACATCGTTAACATGGTAAGCAATGTTCAAGTCTTGATGCCATCTAATTAATGAAATTGTGTAAGCTTCAGGCCTTGATGGAAAGATATGAATCGTTTCTACACGTGAAGGAATGTGTTGAAGACAACATTTAAATTATATACATATGGTCCTCTCTACCTATTGTCAAAAATAATGAATTACTATTTTCATTAATAGCATTTAACCAACCGGGCAACCAGATGCTTCGACCCGCATTGAATGCCGGACCACTCGTTGAAGATAAAAGTACATCGAACCCATATGAAGTTTTCCCATGAGCCGATTGTATCCATTGAGCAAATATAGGTTCGAGCAGTTAAACTTTTAGTTGAGATGTTTAATACAAGTGAAACTACATCAAACTCGTGCTCAGCAACATAATATAGCAGGTTGGCACAAACTTTCTTTAAAGAAACAGCATATATTAAATTCCGGAAAAAGAGAACAGATTGTTATGTAAATTAGTATCAGTTGAACTTCCAATTGGGCAAAATTAGAGTTGACAAAATTGCCAAATTTTGCCACTTATACCTGTTATCGAAATTCAAGTAACAACTCAACCAATATTTCTTGAATGTGGATATTTTGTTCTCAAGCGCAGATAATGTCATTTTCAGCAATACTCAGTTATCATTTCCGTCATGACCAAAAATGTTCCTAACAGGATATTGAAACACAGTTATTTCAGAAAATACTTGTGGCAGATAAGTGCCTGTATGAAGAAATTAAAACTAAACAAGAACGGTTCAAATTGTTCTTCTTCGACATACAGATTTGATTGTGACTGTGAGCGGGCTTTCACAATGCTGATGTCCTCCATTGATGTTGGAAAAAAACTATTTGCAATCTTAAAACTTGAGAATTTACACTTAAATATTCTCCTTCGGACAGACAAAAACACGCAGATATAAATGGATTTACAAACATGTCTACTGAGTTATACAACAGCATCAAGAAGAAAAACAAAAGGTCGGTAAATGGGGTTTTAATAACCTGCTACTATGGATAATCCTTCAGATGGAGGCTCCTGATCATCATCCATAGGGCTATTCATAAAGTGAAAAGAACCACATTAAAGAGGAAATTTAGGTAAATAGGAAATTGTTAAAAAGAACAGCGTAACAAACACATACAAACATACATGTACTGTTGACACTGTCTGAAAATAAATCAACGTTTAATAAACCACTGAAAGCCAAATTTCCACGGGATTGAGCTCAGCAAACGAGATAATTTAGTCCATGAAGTTCAATTCAACTAATGTCGTTTATTTTAAGCTATCAAATACAAAAAGGTATATTCTTGATGATGCCATATATAAATCCCAATCGTGAAAACTATAAACAAGAATCCAGTGAACAGAAATTAGAACCAAACCCACAGAGAAAAAAAAAATTCAAAAAGCAAATATACAAATAGAGAAGAATACCTCAAAACGTCGGAAAGGAGGGAACTCGGAACTGTATTTGTAACGCAATTGTCATTATTAACAAAAGATACTCGGAAGAATTCATCATTATTATTGGTAGTAGAAGAATAGGAAGAATTGATGTTGAATAATCTTAGTCTGAAAAATCTTTTGGAGGAAGGGGAAAAGGAGAAAGGCAATAAACCCAAAAATGGTTTTGTATAATCGGTATAAACCCCGAATTGGCGAGGATTGCAGTGGTAATCTCGCAAGTGCTGGGATATACTACGAGACCCACCCAACATTATTCACTAGTTTGGGTTGAAGAGGATGACATAATACCTTTGTGTGTTGGCGTTTTTATGGCCGACTACGAGGTTGCTTCGTAATTTGGTTGGATTAAAATTTGATTTTAATTAATAATATTTTTATAATTTCACAATTTATTAATCACACATTTTAAAACTTTTATCAGTATCTATTAAAAATCTAGGGATTGAGCCCCATTTTTTAAGAAAATTGTATTTTAAAATAGTGATATGATGAAAAATGTGTGATTAAAAAATAAAGAATAATTTTGAATTTGCGTATAATATTATTTTATTGAAAAATATGTGGTTGAATGGTGGTAAATCATTGTTGAAGACAGAGCCGGGCCTAAAATTTTGATTGTCCTATGCGAGATTTTAAAATGGTGCCCCTTCAAGTCACTAAAACATATATTAAAAAAATATTCAATAATATTATTTCATTGCAAAAATATGATATTTAAATATTTTATTTATTTTTTAACATACGTTAACAAGAAAAACATAAATAAAGCTCAAAAGCATCTCTTGAATTTCATCAAAAATCATGTCTTGGTACAATTTCATATAAGCAAAGCTTGAAAAAAATATATAAATCAAGTCGAGTATAAAGCTTGAAATGCTACAAATCATGTAAAAATATTTTTTCTCACATCTTTAAAAGCAAACTCACTAATTAAATTTTCGTAATCAATATTTTCTAGAAAGTCTTGCTCAATAGACATTAAAGCTAATACATTCAATCGTTCTTGTAACATGATTGATCGCAAATAAGATTTTAATAACTTCAATTTTGAAAAACTCCTTTCAACAAATAAACAGTAAGATGAATTAAATCAATATTGATTCTTCAAAACATGTGCATCACTAATCAAACTAAAAGAGAGTCAAAGGGTAGTAAAAATTCAATCATCAATTTTATTAGTAGATTTCAATTCAGAATTAATTGATTTCACTTATTAAATTAGTAATTATAAATTATGAATAGTAAACTCATTTTCACAGTTAATTGATTTCACTAAACAGTAAATCTCTTTACAATTAATTGATTTCACTTATTAAATTGGTAATTATAAATTATGAACGACGAATTCATCTTCAGAACATTGAAAAATATTAAAAAAGAATTTATATTTTTTCGAATATTCAGAGAAATTATTAAAGAAAAAATATATTAAGGAAACAAAAACTCACTAGTAAGTGTTCAACTTCTACGGAGGAAAATTATGTCATGCTTCCTCAATCCTCAGTCCCCACGTTTAGTCAAAGCGAATTCAAATGTTAACAAGTTCTTGTAAAGAGAATTCAAATCAGTGAAATCACGGAACGAGATTGACGAAAAGATAATAAAGAAAAGATAACATGTAATTCAGATTTTCAGCGAGAGTTTAATGAAAAATATGAATTGTCAATCATCGCTTAAGGAAGAGAGGGAATTTTTTGGAGCTAGATTAAAGATCATTAGAGAAAAAGACGATTTCTTAAAAAAAAAACGATTGATTTCTCTCTTTTCTGCCTCCATTATTGTTGAGGTAATTGAAAAAGACGGTTAATTTATTTAATTCGTTTCTCTGAAAAGACGATTGAAAGAGATTGTTGCTCAATTTTTCTCTTTTCTCTTAGGTCTGTCTAGTCTCTTTTTGTCTTTTTCCTTTTCTCTCACATCATTTAAGGTAAGAATATTATTTAAAAATATTATATTCAAAGAAATTATAATTAATTAGTCACATTATTCTTAATTTTAATATCTCATGCATAATAATAATAATTTTATATTTTAAAATTAATATATATTTTAAATATTTAATTATAAATAAATATACAACTATATAAAAAAAATTTTTGGCACCCCTACAATTTTGAGGCACTGAGCAGTCGCTCAACTCGCGTGCTCTCAGGACCACCTTTGGTTGAAGATACATTTTGAAGAAAAAATAGGGTTAAAAAAAGGGCTAATTTTAATCCCCACCAAACGCCATTTATTTACGAGAACCGATTGAGATTAAAATTATATTTTAAATAAAAATTGATGAAATGTATGATAAAAAAATAGGGGAAGCCCCTTGGACATCAAGAGGTTTGTTCAACAAGCAATGCCCTTAAATAATTGTGATCAAAATTAATAATTAATTTTAATTCTCACCAAACATAAACTTAGCGTGTTTTGATGAATTTATAGCTGGAAACACACAATTCTTGCCAGTGGATATTTGGATTAAAAAACAAAGAAATGATTTCTTATTTTTAACTAGAATTACATATTAAGATTTGAGATGTCCATCAAATTTAAGGATGAAAATGGAGCAAATTAGGGTCATAGTTCTTGAAGATAATAGAGAAATTTCCTCGAATCGCATTCCATCATATATACTTGACCATTAGGAATAGAGTCAATAATGTAAATATTTGCGACATGACTTAGAGGGTGTTTGAAACTCATTTTTATGTAAAAATGTATTTTAGAATAGTAAAATGATGAAAAATGTGTGGTTGAAAAATGAGGAAAAGTTTTTTATTTATGTGTAATATTATTTTAATAAAGAATGTGTGGTTGAAAAAAAAAAGAAAAATACATTTTGAAAAAAATGGATACCAAACGGGGCCTTAATGTAGAATAATGAAAGACGATAACACGAGCTTACACGTATGCATTTCATATGATCTAAATTTTCTCATTATTTTCTCAACTATAATGAGAAAAATTTTGCAATGCTTTGTAGGGGAGTTTCTAATCTTTGAACGCTTTGACATTAATTGTGAAAACAACAATTTCTAACAAATCAAAACAAGGAGATTTAGGGGTTGTTCTCTTTGCCTGTTTTCGATCGCTTTTTGTTTTTGATTTTTCAAAACGGTGAAAACGTATTCTCTTTCCCATTTTCGTAAGCGAATTTTCCAAAATAAAAAAAAATGTGAAGAAAACAAAAAACAGCAAAATTTTAGCTGTTTTTCAGTAGAAAACACGTCAAAAACCTAAAACACGGGAAATGCAGTTTTGAAGCCAAATCCCGCCAAAACATTTCCCCATCTTTCTTCTGCCAACCTCCAGCGAAACCTCAAAAACCGCCATTTTCCATCCCTCTCAACCCCAGCCAACCTCCTCCAAAACCACCGGATTTACATATCATTGTGAAGCCCTCAATCCCTTCTTCAATTACCACACAAACAACAAACCTAAACATATACCAAAATCGATCAAAAGTCATCCTCAAAAATTGCCAAAACACGCAAACTGCTTTGCCAGAATCTCCACCTCCGGTGACACCCAAGGTCGCGCACCACCATTGGTCGATTGCCCACCATTAACTGACCCGAACCATGGCCCCAATTTACCACAAACAACAATTCAACAATCCGAATTTTTAAAGTGCAGAATCCGAATGTTGGCCGTCGTGAGGCCCTACAGTGCAATTCGTGGCTTGTGTAAAAATGGGTTCAAATGATGATGGGATATGGTGGTCTAGGTGGTGTGTGGTGGTCGAATTGTGAGGTAGAAGACAGCGGCTCATGGAGGGGGCAAAAATGGCGGTGGCTAGAGAAGAGAAAATGCGCCCATTTGCGTGGAGAAGAGAAAATGCAAATTTCTAAAGTGAACGTGTTTTTTATTTTCATGTATTGAGAAATAGTTTTCTAAAATGAAAAAAAAGAACGTTTTTTCAACTATCTCAAAATGGACACTCAAAACACAAAACCCAAAATTTCAAAACTACAAAATTGAAACACGAAGAGAACAACCTCTTAACTCTTTTCTTTTTTTAATTTTGAAAGTAAAAGTGTCATTTTTAACAAACATAAGAGGAGATTAAATAAAAATCATGAACAAAAACAAAAATGCTTTCAAAATTGTATGCAAGTACATTGTCGACTCATTTTTTTTTTTAACATTTAAGTTGAAGTTCAATGATTTTACTACTGTCAATTTAATTTCAGTGACCTGATTGAACTTGGAGTCAAAGTTTGGTGACCAATGTACAATTAATACCGACATATCAGTGTTATTTAGAAATTGCTCACCGCCTCCTATCAGGTTTGATCAAATTACAATCGGACCCCTCTTGTGAAATTACAAAGGACTTTTCTCAGCATAACCCTGCTCAAACTCCGAAGAAAGGAAAAGAAAAGAAGAGGCAAATTACATGTCACTAGTAGTTTCCGCTCAATTTGCCACCATTGGAATCCAAATTCAATCCAAGAAATCCGGTGCGGAACTGTTGAGTATTAATTAGAAATTGGTTTCTATTGGCTATGGAGTTGGCATCAGGATTTGATGACGCTTCATCTTCGGGTTTGGGTTTGAATACGGTTCCGAATATGGGAGCGTCCATGTCAGCACCCATAAACTCCTCCAATATTGGTTTCCAGGTTTTAATTCTGTCTCTAATTTTCTGCTAATATTGTTTGTTTTAATAATTAGTATTTGTTGCTCGAACATTTTAGTGCAGATTTTGACTTAGGGTTTTAATTTTGATTTGTCCAGTTGTTGAAGAAACACGGATGGAAAGAAGGAACTGGACTTGGTATCTCTGAACAGGTTCTTCTCAAACCGCCATAATATTTCTTGATTTTTACTATTTTTCCTTCTAATTTAATGTTGAAATTTAATGTGAATTGGGTTCTTTACCTTATCTACCCAATCAAGGTTGCCTAGGTTAGTCACTATTTTACACGTCGTCAGAACCACAGGAGTAGTTACATAGAGAAGTATGACGTATTGCATTGGATTTCCTTTTATCATTGAATCTTGTATCCTTTCAAATATTGCTGGATTTCCTTCGACAGTTGAATCTCTTTAAAATTGTTGGTTGCTCCTTTGAACTTGACGTGAGACTCAATTAGATAACAACGCAACTCCTCGCCTTTTCTTGATTTACTTCTTCCAAATAAACAGGAATAATCGTTACGCATCCAAGTTATAAAATTGGCTTATCGTCTAATGGGAACATCCATAGCCGGTTCTTGTTCCTTATTTGAGGTTGCGAATATATCTTTGGCATATGGTGAACTAAATGTCCATCCTTGATACTTTATCAATTTTAGAATAAATAGGAAGACACATCATGCAACACTATTAGATTTTGAATGAAAAATATGGCTTATTTACTTTTCCCTTATAGGTGATCTTCTAGAGCTAATTCTTGTTTCTGATTGGAGAATATGGAACATACTTTTTGTCGTACTGAAGTTTGCCCATAATTAATCTGAAGTCCAAACGTAAGATAATTTGCCAAGTTTCTAATTAGTCCTTGATTCCATGCAGGGTAGGTTGGAGCCTGTACAGGCTTATATCAACAATGACAAGAGAGGATTGGGATCACATAAACCAAAGAAGGAAAAAGAGAAGTTGAGAAACCTTAAAAATCCTGATGGGAAGAGTGAAAAGGTCAGTTTTTCTGTTGCTAAGTGAAAGTTAGTTTAGCATTTTGTGTTCATCTTTGTATCTGAAGTTATTTGTTGCTGCATATATCATGGAACAAAAATTATGGGAATGATATATGGTATTAACTCTAATGGACATCTGGTGCCGAAGGATATTTTGTCATTGGAGTGACTTGTCAGAAATGTAAGTCTGAAGTTAAGCAATATACATATCCTTAATCTCACTTTCTCGATTTTCTTTTTCTATTATGGAGTGGAATAGAGTCCAAGAGCATGTTTGAGTGGGCTTATAAATATGGTCAAACTATCTTATATGCTAAAAACCCGTCCAAACATGCTCTTAAATGGTGAGTTGGCTGATTTTAAGCCCATGTTTAAATAAGCCCCCGTTTGATTCCCATTCTTATAAGAATGAGAATGAAAAATATTACCGTTTCGGGACCCATATAAGAGAGTGTCAAAATGGTTGTTTGAAGTGATGGATAACGGTCATATTTTTCATTTTTGTGGCCAAAGAATGGGAAACAAACGGGGCCTAAGCCAAAAGCCCAATTGGTGTGAATCTAAGTGGGGTTGACCAAGTAATTACCCATTTGCCCTCTTCTTTTTCAACAACTACAATCGAACCAGTATAAAATCATTATCATTCACAGCCATTACATTTCATTTGCACCTCAACATTAGCGTCTACTTCTTAATTAATATACGAAAATGTACCCGTAAGTCACGAAAAATTTATTAGGTTTTCTATAGATGATTTACCCATTTTAATTTTCACTTCACGAATAATTGTGGTACTTATATCTTTTTTAAGGAAGAATCTCTATAAAAACGTTGGCTTTGCTAAAGTAAAATACTATGAGGAAATATTTAAATCTCAAGTAAAACTCTGGGTTTTTTCCGTAATTTGGCACAGCCAAAAGCTCATAAGCAAATCCAAACATATGTGCTTCTTGCACTTATGAGCACTAGATATCCAAACATATGGTCTTTTTATAAGTGCTCAGTTCTCTTATAAGATAGCTCCTTTTTTCAAGCCCGCCCAAACATGCCTCAAACCATATCTTTTCAATGTGATGGAATTGCTTGAACTGATGTGAAGCTCTGTTTCGATTTGAGGAGAAACGAAGGGAATTGTCGTCCGTGTGCTCTGTCTTCACCTTTAGGCATTGCGTCTATTTTCAATTTAGGGAATAATTAGCTGAAGTCAATAATGTGCATATGTTTAACTTGGGGTCTGTTTTCTCTCACGGCTGTGTATAAAAAGCGCAGAATTTTTTACCTGACCTTTGTTTGTTGAAGATACATGTCTTCTTATATGCTGAGCTAATGTCTTTTCAAAGCTGGAACTTGTTCTCTTTTAATATCTGAATTCTGGCACTGGTCGGAGGGGAGAACTGAATCTTCTTCTTTTTCTTCTTTGATATCATAATGACTTGATTGTATTGTGAAGTGTGTTAATAATTGCACAGGATTGATGTTTTGCATTGCAGAGCGAGGCTCCCTGCTGCAATTATTAATTTGCTGCATATTGTAGAGAGTGGTAGCTAACATTACAAAGAAAAAAGACCACAATAAGAAAAAAATGATCTGAATTCTGGCACTGGTCGGAGGGGAGAACTGAATCTTCTTCTTTTTCTTCTTTGATATCATAATGACTTGATTGTATTGTGAAGTGTGTTAATAATTGCACAGGATTGATGTTTTGCATTGCAGAGCGAGGCTCCCTGCTGCAATTATTAATTTGCTGCATATTGTAGAGAGTGGTAGCTAACATTACAAAGAAAAAAGACCACAATAAGAAAAAAATATGTGTTTATTTTTATGTCCTGGAAATTCTTTATATTATTAGTGTTCTGTGTGACCTTTTGGAGTGTTCTTCGATGGATATTCTTTATTGTCGACCTTTTGTGTGTCAGTATACAATATGTTCACAAATTGCCATTATTTGTTTCAGTTGCCAAAAAAGAAAGCAAAGGGCATCTCTAAAAAGATGAAGAAAATGCAAGAGTTTGAGAAACGACTGCAAGAGAAGGAATTTGACAGGACCTTTTTCAGGGAGTTCTGGCCTGATAATGTTTGAATTATTGCGATGTCTCTAAACAGAGTGTGCAAAAGTGACATAAATTAGCTGCATCAGAAAGGGGAGTGGAAGTGTACAACTTAATTGGAATCGGAGGAATCCATAGCGTCATAAAGGGCATTCTTTATCGCCATATTTGTTCATTTTGATGGTTGAATTGTGAGTCAATAAAATGCAGAAGTGGAGTGGCATTTGCCCTTAATGCAAATGTACAGTTGGTTGATATATGCAGATTTGACATGAAGGAAACTTTTGAAAGTGCGGGAGAACCGTTTCACTTTGCGGGGCCGTCTTGTGCTATCGCAGTCTTCTTTACTGAAAAAACGCAGATATGTAAAGAAGCAATCGTGCTAGAGCAAATTTTAGTGTGAAGTTGGGGAAAAAATTTTGTTGGTCTATATTGGTAGGTTGAGTTCACGTATTTTCGACTTAGGCTATGTTTGATACCAAATGAATTCGGGAAATACCTCAAATTGACCTAAATAAAGGAAGGATTTTCCAAAATAGCCTTTGACTTTTCTAAATATTTTGAACTACCTAAAACATCCCTAAACAAATATTAAAAAACAACCCTTTATCTAATATAAATCTTCTATTCAAGTCCTTAAATAATTAACAAATAATTTTTCTAAAAATTTGTGAGAATTATTAATTAGTAATTATAAAATAGAAAAATCTAAATATAAGAGAGGACCATATAATATAAAAAAGGTTGTTAAAAATAAAAAAGAAATTAAGTTTGAAAAAGAAATTGATAAGATAGGATATCAAAAACAATTATATGCATCACAAGAAATATTAAAATGTTTCAAAGAAAACTTATTAGAAACTTTTGCTAAAAGAATTGTAAGAACAATAATTATAAAAGATATACAAGATATCATAGATAAATTGGAAAAAAGGAAGAAAAATATTAACTAAAAATATTTTAGATAGGAAGTTAGAAAGAATAAGATTAATAAATGATAAAATTTTAGATGAATTATTAATACCTGGAGAAATAACTAAAACTCAAGAAAAACAAATATTAAAATTAAAACAAGAAAGGTATAAAGAAAAAGCAAAGTATTATGAAAAATTGAAAGAGATAACAAATCCTAAAGTAATAAAACAAAAATATGATAAAATAATAAAAGAGTGTAAAAATAATGAGTGTATAGTATTTTATTATTGTCAATCAAAAAATAGATAAAATGTCAATCAGTGAACATATGAAAGAATTAAAACATTTAATAAGAACATTAATAAATGATGTACAAGAAATTAAGAATGAAATAAAAGAAGTTAGAAATGATATAAATATATTAAAACTTGAAGTTAGAAAATTAAAAGAAAATGAAGAAAAGAATAATAGAGTAGATAAAAAATTTATAGAAAAAGAAATAACCAGAATAGGGAAAAAACATATTGAAAGGAAAAATATAATAATAGAAACAGGAAGCATGGATGATGAGTTTAGAAAAAATATATTACCTAAAATAATAGAAGAAGAGGAATCCAGAGAGAAAATATTAGATAAACAAAAAATTGAAGAAAATCAGGACAAAGAAGATGAATGAAGAATTAGATCTACTTATAGATAATTTTGATCATTTAAGTTTAGAAAGTATAGATGATGAATACCAAATCTTAATGAATACTAGAGGAGGACCTAATTCAGTAAGAACCTCTAAACAAGAACCAATAGATCCAGATGAAAGCTATGCTCCAATGTATAATAAACCATATAGGCAATTTTATAATAAAATAAGAGATAAACAACCGTCCAAAGGAAATAAATATAGTAATAGATTTGAATTAAATAATAATTATGATAAACCTGTTAACCATGGAGGAACAAAATTAGACTTAGATTGTAAAATAGATACTAAGAAAGCCTTAATAATTTGGGCAGACTCAATGATATTATTCTTTTTATATAATAAAGATGATACATGGGAAAATACTGAAAGAAGAATAGATTTTTTAATTGCATCTTTTGAAGGAAATGTTAGAAATTGGTGGGAAGGAATTAGTAGTGATACAAAATTATTAATAAAAAGAAATGTACAAATAGAAATAATAAAGTCAGATAAATTAGGAATAGAAAGATTAGTAGAATATATTACAGATGAATTCTTAGGAGAAAATTGGTTAAGAAATTATGAAAAAGAAGCAATACGAGAGAAAGATAATGCAAGAGTTAAGTTAATTAATTTAACAATTTGTGATATGTGTAAAATTAAAGAATATACTTGTGAATTCAAGGATTACTATTATACTCAATTTTATAGTAATGAAAATCAAGATATGTATTATAATAAATTACCAGGATCATGGGGAATATATTTTAAAATAGAATTTAAAAAATATATTAAAGGAAATAAAGGAATACGTAGAACACTAGGATCAAGAATAAAATTCTTATTTGAAAGACTTGCATATATATGTCAACAAAGGCAATTATTGAAAAAATCAGAAAAATTAACTAGAATATGTTGTGAAAATATGGAAAAACCTACAAGATGGGGATGTAATTCGGAAAAAAGAAACAAAAGAAAGTATAAAAATAGAAAGTTTAAAAAATATAGAAACTTTAAGAGAAAATACATAAAACCTGGAAGGAAATATTATAAAAGGAAAAATAATATACAGAAAAATAAACCTCATAAGAAAGATAAAAAACAATGTAAGTGTTGGAATTGTGGAAAAATAGGTCATATAAGCCATGATTGCACAAAGAAAAAAGTGAGAATATTACAAAAGGATTATTTTGAAATAGAAAGTGAATTAAGTGAAATATCTGATATTGAAAATTATAATAATCAAGAAATATTTATAAGTGAAGTAGATTCAGAGGATAATGGATCAGAATCTGAATAGAGAAATTGAAGAAATAGAAAACAATAATATAGAAATCCAAGAATATAAGGGAATGGAAGGTTATGGATTAAAAGTAACTTTTGATAATAATAAATTCAAAAAGATACAAAAGTTGTCCTTAGATTTGAAAATAGGAAAATGGGAAATTTTAGATAGAATATGGAGAAGAGAAAGAATAGCAATAAATGAATACCATAAGATCGAAAAAATCATAGATGTTAGAACTACTCAAGGAACGCATAAAATAAACCTTTTAACAAAAAATACAGTATCAGAATTATTATCAAAAATAAGTAAAAAGTATAGTGAAAAGATCGAATATGTTTATTTAGTAGGAATACAAATAATGTTTAAACCCTTATTTAGGGAAGGAATAGATTCACCATTAACTGTAAGCTTACATGATGGAAGAATTATAAATTTAAAAGATGGTCATTTAGGAACTATAGAAGGAAATTTAGCATATCAAAAGTTAAAATTTACTTGTTACCCAAAATACTGTGTCTCATTGAAAGATAAAAACTTTAATGAAGTTTTAGGATTACATAGAAATGATATAATGGAACCAGGAGATCAAATTATGACTATGGAATATAAGGCATTATATATATTTACCAATTCTAATTATGGGAATATTTATTCCAATAAACCATATATAGAAATTCATAAGGAATGTAAAGATATTAGTAAAATAGTGGAACCAAACAAACAAATAAATCTTATCCCAGAAGAATATGAATTTAATATAACTAAAAATAAGCCTGAAATAATAGAGTTAAGAAAAGAAGAAGATTATAAAATAACATTTCATAATGGAAGATTGATAAAGAAATCAAAAAATCTTAAACTACCAAATAAAAAGGAATATTTGGGAGAAACTAGTGGTATAAAAGAAATAAAACCTCA